GCCCTGTTTAAAAAAAAAAAGAAAGAAAGAAAGAAAAGAAAAAAAGAAAAACAACAAAAAAAAGAGTCAAGCATGGTGACATACATCTGTAATTCCAGCACTCAGGAGGCTGGGGCAGGAGGATCACTGCAAGTTTGAGGCCAGCCTAAGCTACAAAGTGAAATCAAGGCCAGCTTGAACTCTATAATGAAAACCCTATCTGAAAAAGACAAATTTTTTTTTACATTTATTTATTTATTTATTGTGTGTGTGTGTGGCCAGCTCAGCCCACCAAGGGGCGGGGCTGGCTGGCATATGGTGCTGGGGGATCAAACCGCAGTCCCTGTGCTTTGCTAAGCTTGTTTCAAGTAGGTGCTTTAGACCACTGAGCCATCTCGCCAGCCCCAAGACAAATTTTTTTTAAATTTTGAATAAATAAGAAAGAAAAAAGAAATACTTTTAACATAAAGTGACATAGGATAAACATTTCTATTCCAGAAGTGGGGAAGAGAGGAGCAGAAATCAGATCAAAGTAAGATCAAAACCTAGCAGGGGAAGCATTAAATTCTGTAGCTCCATGTCCAGCATTTGGGAAGTTGTGGTAAGATAGGAATTTCAAAGGACTTGGATGGACCTACCTTTATAGCATTGCTGGTTGTACCTCAGAACAGCTTTTCTTTTGGACTGGCTTTACTCACTTCCTGTAGCTTTCCTCAACAGATGGTGCATATTCCTAGCATCTTCAACTTCCTACTGCACCTTTGGCTTCATATATTACCCTCTCAAGGACACCTGGTGGGGGCTGTGATCTTGTCACAAGCTTTTGCCTGTTCTCCTAAGGCTTCTTGTAAAATCTGGGTGGAAGCCTCTTTGATCTACCAACTCTTTTTTTTTTTTTTTTAATGTATTTGGTGTAAGGTCTCACTACGCAGCTTGGAGTCATAGTGACTCTCCTGTTTTCAGCCTCCCAGCACTGGGATTACAGGCGTGCTCCACCACACCCAGCTCAGCATGCCCCTGGTGTGGGGCCAGCATGGCATGTGGTGCCGGGGATTGAACCCCAGTCCCTGTGCTTGCCTAAGCAGGTGTTCAGTCTGCTGAGCTATCTTGCTGGCCCGATCAAGCAATTCTTATATTTTGCTTATTTATTTATTTTTTTGTGTTTTGTATTTTTTAGGGAAGGATCTATAGGATGTTCAGGGTCTCACTACTAGATCAGACTCAGTGATCCACCTGTTTATAGCCTCCCAAGAGCTAGGATTATAGGCATGTTCCACCATGCCCAGTTTCAGTGCACCCTGGGAGTGGGGCTGGCATGGCAGACCCAAGGATCAAAACCCCAGCCCCTGTGCCTGCTTGCAAGGGCTTTAATACACTGAGCTATTTGGCCGGCCCACAATTTTTATATTTCGTGTGTCTGTTAAATCAGCACCACATAGAGAATGCCCAGGTTTGTCACCAGCTTTAGCAAAAGCTAGACCCCTTTGAATTATAGTTGCAGTAGTCTCTGTGTACCCAGCTAGCTGAGCAATGTGAAATGAATCTTCAGAGAATCAATTTTCTAAGTGGTCCTTGAACAGGACACCTTGGGGCTGTCTTTATCAAATAAAATCTTTCAAATGAGTTTACGTTTACCCTCTTATACCCTTGAGCTTGCAAGGGGTAAGGTGTGACCAATTCCTGAGATGCCCTCAGAATGTCTTTTCTACAGTTCATATGCACAGTATTTGATTTCTTTCTTTTTTTTTAATTTTTTTAACATTTATCTAGTGTGTGTGTGTGTGTGTGTGTGTGTGTGTGTGTGTGTGGCCAGCTCAGCCCACCAGGGGGCGCGGCTGGCTGGCATGTGGTGCTGGGGGATTGAACCGCGGTCCCTGTGCTTTGACAAGCTTGTTCCAAGTAGGTGCTTTAGACCGCTGAGCCATCTCTCCAGCCCCCATTTGATTTCTTTCTAATACTAATCTTTTCAGTAATCATATTATCTATGACCCCAACTTTGCAGGAACCTCTTTTCTGATGAACTATAAGCTTTGCAAATTATTTAGCTCCATTTGTTGCTCCTGATTCTCACTATAAATCTGATTGCAAGCAGCTAGCAATACCCATGACACAGCCTGAATGTTGGGTTGCCTTGAAATTTCTTCTACCAGATCAATTAATGCCTGTTATGGTTTGTATCTAGATGTTCCCCCAAAATTCATACACACATAAATGGAGAATTTCAAAGGTAGCTGGATTAAGGTGTGTGAATGTGGGTTAAGAGTATGATATGGGGCTGGTGAGATGGCTCAGTGGTCTAAAGCACCTACTTAGAACAAGCTCAGCTAAAGCACAAGGACCACGGTTCAATCCCCAGCACCACATGCCAGCCAGCCCCGCCCCCTGGTGGGCTGAGCCGGTCACATACACACACAGAAATGAATAAAATTAAAAAAAAAAAAAAAAGAGTATGATATGATACTGGGATTGAGGATGTAGAGAATAGAAGTCCTACCCTAGGTATGAGTGGTACCAATCAATAGGCTTGTAATTTGGATAGAATATAAAGAGACAGAAAGAAGGTAAGCTTGATGCTCCTGCAGTTGCTTGCTGCTTGCTGCCTTCTGCCTGCTACATCATATACTGTTTCTCCACTGTGATGCTCCTCTGCCAGGACCCCTGCCTTGGAGCCAGCTGACTATAAACTCTACAAACTATGAGCCAAAGTAAGCCTTTCCTTCTTCAACTTGTGGGTGTTGGATATTTTGTCTGAGCAATGAACAAAGTAGCCAACATGGTACAGAACCTTCAAATTCATCCCCATACCAGTTATAGGATGTAGACAAGTTTTTTGCTAGAATGAAACACATGTGGTCTCTAGTCCAATTTCCAGTACATTTCTTTATTGTCATCTGAAACCTCATGTGCCTGGCCTTAACTGGCCACATTTCTATCAGCGGTCTGATGGTGGTGGTGGTGGTGGTGGTGGTGGTGGTGGT